CACACAAACAGAACCTTGTGGCTAAAAGGACTCATACAGAATCGGCTACAGGAATACATCTTATTTTATTTAAACATATTTTTATTTTAACATATGTTCATTTTATTTTCAATGAAATTGTCCAAAACATCAAATATTGTGACTTTTTAACAAGAGCTGCAACAATTAGTAGAATAATCGATTATTATTATTATATGAAAAATTCTCAGTTTGAAGCGTCTCCAGTGTGAGGTTTTGCTGATTTTGTCTATTTCACCTCATTGTAAACGGAATATGTTTCACTTTTGAGGCTGTTGTTCAGACAAGACAAAAAATCTGAAGACTCCGGAAAACTGAGATGGATATTTTTCACTATTTTCTGATGTTTAACAGACTAAACCAAAGTAAATTAAGCAGTTCTACTTGTAACTATGATGCACATCTGCGCAATGTATAAGGATTCATGTAACAAAATCCAAATCATAAATTGTCCTTCCCACTATGTATGAAAAAACTATACAGTGCCACATTCCTGCATTTCAACAGAATAAGAGAAAAAGGACAGAAAACAAACCAAATCTTCACAGAAATATGTGTGAGAATGTGTTTTTTTTTACAAATCCATCACCTCTTCACCTCATCACTACTCAAATAACACACTGTACAATTTAAGTTACCAGTGTTTAGCGTTGTTATATCAAGGTTTATTGATTTGCCAAGAAATGAAAAGATCCATGATAATCATGTGACAGAAGACAATAAAATAAAATAAGTGGATTGTTTTGCCTTAAATCAACCATATGAATGTCTGTCTAACACAGTGGATGCTAGGTTCATCATCACATGCTGCCTGAGAAGCAGAACAGTGTGTGACTCATTATTCAAAGACTCTACCCAGATGGCAGAACACACCCTCTCTGAGATTTGCGATTATTTTCGGAAAATTACAGGCCAAGTTCTGGTAAAATTTGACTGTCGGATCAGACACACCGCTCCACTTTCTCTTCTCCCACAGGTACAAACTGGGTCAGCGGTGACCTGTAGGGCTGCGAAAGTGCGTCAAACACCCAACACTCTGCTTTTAGCAGCGGATCAGTACCAAACATTTAGACAGTGTAACACAGAGAGAAGTAGAGAAGTAACCATCCATTTCTAAGACAAACAAATGAACACGTAGCCTCTGCTGTTTTACCTCCAGACGACACAGATTCTTCAGTTCGCCTGAAAAGGATGTCTGTGTTTGTGGGAGCAAACTCACACAAACACAGACACAATATTCTGATAATGACCTCGACTCATTTCTAGTGGTGAGAGTGACTGTGGAAATGAGCAAAGAGCTTGAAAACCCGGGCTCTGCCTTTTACCTTGAGAAATCTGACTAAACACTTGTTATAGAGCTGCTTTGAATAGTGTGAAATAGCTCTGCAGAAATTTTGCTGAGCATCAGTTATGCCATCATATCCACAGCAGAGGAAATGACATGCTGACAACAAGGTAACAAAAGCCTGTATTTACAGCTGACAACAGACTGAGTGACAAGTACTCTCGTGTTTGGGTTATTTTACAAGGCAGGAAATGCCCTTGCTAACTGGATAAACTGAGATAAAGTTGTTCCTGGTGTGAACAGCAGCAGTACATACACAATAGAGCATCCTTTCCACATTCTCCAAAGTGAAACAGCCCAACCAGATATTCCTAAGACTCCAAATTGTCCTTGTTGTCCTTGTTTTCATTGCTAGATGTGGCAGCAACTGGAATTAAACAGTGTGAGGTAAAGATACCAAGAGTCTTGGCCACTGCAGAGAAAGTAAATAAATCCATGGCATCATTGCATTACCACTGAGGTTGTGAATTATTTAGAGCTATACTTTAAAAAAAAAAAAACTAGGGTGAGGCTAAACCTGGGACAGACGTGTTTATATCTGTACAACACTGAAAACAGACCACTGTCAAGACTGTGTGCGTCTGGCCTTAGCTCCATCATATCCTCGGCTGTAACCCAGCAATCCAGCATGAGTAGATACAGGGTCATCAGGTAAAATAACTGTCTTCAGTGGAGTGATTCTGCTCATCTCTTTGCACAATAGCTCCATTTGGAACTCACACTGAGTGAACATAGCGACCATTAGACAGGCAGCCATATGGTGTCCAGACAGGTGCTAAAGAGTGTGGATCACAGAGGACCACACAGTCAACAAACTCATTAGCCTTCGTGCTTCTTTCTGCCATGAAGTGCAAAGACAGACACTGACAACTGCTTTTACACATTTGCCCTCAAAGACTAATATATTTTCAATAATGGTTCTAAATGACAGAGGCAACAGAAGCTACTGGGAAACTGACACCAGACAAGTGTGACAAATCTATTTCATAAACATAACCTGGTCACATCCTGGTCACAGCTCACTGAATAAGAGCGAACATAAATAATAATTTACATCCTGTGTCTTTCGTGTTCTTACTACCTTGTTTCATATCTGTAGATGCACATATTCCTCTCACTGCACCAAAACGTGGCAGGGCGGTTACATGTAAGTCAGAAATAAGCACTCCAGCGCCCTCATGTATTTTGGGTCAATAATAGAGGGTGTGCATGTGTTCTCAGTCTGTCTGCTGAAAAACACAATGTTTGATTTTGGCATAAAAATCTGTTCTTAACTTATAAGCCTTTGTGCAAGAACAAATGCACATAGCATTGGTGAAAATAATCACAGAGTGAAAAGTTAATCACTACTTCTCCCATGACCAGCCTCTCCACACAGTTTCACAAGGAAAGTATTTAGACATTTCAGGATTTAAAAAACTGCATTTAAATCGATGATGATTCTTTAAAGAAGATAAACTCATGATAAACTCATGAGTTTATATATATAAATATATATATATATAAAATGATTATATATATATAGGAATTCATATGGATAAATATATATTTCCTCAACAAAACCAAAATAGTCTATGTATGTGTAATACACTACAAGGAATAACTTCGTGCTCTGTGGGCTGAGCCACACTGGATCATGGAGATATGATGATTCACCTACACAGTAAAACCCGCCTTCTCTTTATATATTCCATTTATGACGCAGCCACTTCATGTGGGGCTTTTACTGAACATGAACGCAATTTTCTAGCTACAGTTTCACCCACTTTCCTTCTGCTGTACAAGACCTGCTCTGCCTTTTACAACATTTTACTCTTATTATACAAATTCATTACACACACACACACACACACACACACACACACACACACACACACACACACACACACACACACACACACACACACACATCCTTGTTTTACTATACCCGTCACTGACATAATGCATTCCCTTGCTCCTTACCCTAACATTATCCATCACAACTAATTGCCTATCATAACCCGAAAACCACGTCTTAACCCTCAAACAGCCAGTTCAACTTGTGGCCTCCAGCATTGTGGTCCCCACAAAGCTGTCAGACCCCACATGTGCAGTGGGCTCCTGGTTTTTGGACCCCATGAACATCCCCATCCCCCACCCCCCCATACACACTCTTCACATTCATAAATTATTGGTGGAACTAGTGACAAGGAAACAAAACAAATGCTTGTGGTTCCTCGACTGCAATAATGGTGTAATTATAAACAATAATCTGAGAGTGACAGCCCCCGCTGCTCTGAAATGGCCAAATAATCATTTCTAATGCATCATTAAATGCCGCCTCTCAGCGTCTGTGGCCACAGACCATCTCTCAGGTTGTGTGTTGACAGTTCATTAGGGGTTTTTACTACACTGCGATTGTGGTGATTGGGTAATGAAGTGATGGGGGTGGGAAAGACAGCAGGCAATGCTGCACACAGATTACTACCTTGTTTGGATGATGAAATCCTATAAGGACTCATTCAAACCACCGAACAAAGGCAAAGGGGTTTTGAGAAAGAACTGCTGGTTAAACATGCTGTAGTACCTTCTCTGTTGTAGAAGCTATAGAGAAAATATGACACACAATGCTGGAAACTATTAGTTGGCAATTCTTCCTCAGCAATATGATTCAAATAAAGAAATGAGTTCATCCTAAATTAGTCTGCGAAGGACCATGATCTTACATTAAAATGGAAATAAGAGTGTAGAGAAAATAACAATAACTTTAGTCTAAAGGCAAACGTTGTTCCAGGTTAAATGAGTGGCAGCTCAACATGGTCCAGGTTGATTCAGCTGTCCTCATGTGTTGCTCTTCACAGTCGAGAATGAGGACACTGTACTGTCTGTTCTGTCTACAGCATCTGCAACATTTCAACTATTATTAACTGTGTTCAGACAAATCAAACCAATCACAATCAATTATTCCATGTTTTCAAATATTATAAATATTATACTTAATTCATTCATTTGTTATTGATAAATTCCGAACATGTGTTTTTTTAGTTGGATTTAGTAATTTAAGAAAGTTATTGTGACAGTTCCTTCCACTGATGTCTCTTATTGTACAAGTCATATGACCATCCATCAGTCACACGAAAGTCTGGTTCCCTATTGATTTTCAGCTGGCTACCATTAAGTGGATATTCTGTCCTAACAGGATATGCAGAGGTGTGAAATGGGAAATTAGGTACTAGGTCATTACAGGTCAGCGTAATACCTGCCATCCCTCTGATTCTACAGCAGCAGCACTGTCCCAGATAACGTGTCAAGAAAACATGCTGCGTACACAAGTTCATTGTCACAATCACTGTAATCCAGTACAATGACAATCCGACTACGTGTGTTAATTTACTCCTGCAACTTTAAGACTCCTTAGCTCTGTATATTTCATAGTATATGAAGAACCAGACAATATATTGTAGTTTGCAATGTGAAAAGGGTTGAGAATCAAAATGTTTTATTGAAAAGACTAGTGATCCTATAATACATGCTATGCTATGTCTGTTACTCTAATATCAGTGGGACTTTAAGTCTCTCACGTGTCTCCAGGCCCAAACATTTTCACGTCAACCATCTTGAATAATTCTGGAAGACACAACAAATGTTCCACACTCACCTTACGTATCCCTTCCACTTCAAAACCATTGAGGTTTGCATACAGCGAGTGGTGCCTCTTTCCTAGCAATGATGTTGAAGTGACATTAGCCGTGGTCGGGACCGCCTTGTCCAAGAGCCCATGTTGGGTATTAACCTGCTCTTCCGACCTCCTGAACTCCGGCTGTTGTCGTCCGGGAGCTTCGGCCTCCTCGCGGCTCTCCATCTCTGCGGGTGCCGGCGCAGGCTCGGGCTGCTCAGGCCGAGTGCACAGGTCATACATCACTCTCAGTCAAAGTCAAACAGCGCGGATGGGATCAATATGACCAAATGAGGTGCCCAGCCAAGACCAAGCCATCACGGGCTTTTCATTTGCTGGAGGAGAATAATACAGATCAGCTGTGGCAGGTTGACTTCAGAGTGATAAAGATGTCACTTTCCTCCTTTTCTCCAACAGTTTATAAGGACTGTTTTTTGTCTAACAGCTTAGGTGAAGTGTCTGAAACCAAACAGAGGACGGTTTTTTCAACAGTTGAAATGAACGAAACACATGAATTTGCAAAATACTCCACAGCAGGAGTTAAAGCTGACAAAAATGGCACTAGTGTAAGAGTCAGTGTGCCATTTCCAAGACAAAACCAGCTACATATAAACCAGGAGTTGTAAAGTACCTCCTACCTCTGCACTGTGACGTTTCCCAAAATGAGGACAATGAGCCCTAAAGGGATATAACATATGTTCAGCGTTGGCTTCTCACTGTAATATGATGAATGTCATCGTCCTGGTAGCATTCTTCAGCATACTGTTGTTTGTTTTTATCACCGTGTAGCATTCAGAGTCCTGCTCACTACGTTAACATAGCCTGTTCCTTCATGCCTTGCCGCTCTGTCGTCTGAGGGGGGGTTTTTCATAGGTACTTGTCCGTAAAATGAAAAATACACACCGCTCCAATTCTTATCCTACATAATGCTGAAACAGCGCATGTAGGCCCGACCGAAATCACAAACAAGAAGAGACGTACGATGCAGAAAAAAAAAAAAAACAACAAGAAAACGATTTAACTAACAGGTCTGCACTCCAGTTCCCATTCTCTCAGTGCGGCTGAGATGTGGGTGGCATGTTGACTCTTGAGCTGTGAGTCTGTCCTCATTGATGCTGCTGTGTCAAAAAGCATTTCATCCAGATGCTATGAGACTCGACGGGGCTGCTTAATCCCGTCTTGGTTACAGCGCCATAAAGGTGAAGAAAGAGGACGAAGGGAAAAATGTGTGTGTGTGTAAGACGGCGAGTGTCGCTGAGAGGAGGGGGTAGGGAGGACTGCTTCAATCGCCCTATCACAAAAAGGCAGGCTTTGAGACGGGGCCCAATCATTACCGTGACTAGAGCTCGTTTCCATGGAGATGACGCTGGAATGATGTTGGCTGCCTATTGATTGTTCAAGAGGCAGTACACACTGCAACACAAGGAGGCTGCAGGAGGCAGGCAGAGGAACAAGTGTGTCCAGTCCAGACTAATTCTAATGTTTTACTGCAGTTGTGCACGACAAAAACAAATCACGTCAGACAGGGTGATGAATGCTGCACACAACCAGACACTAAAAAAACAGAAGGTCTGATGCTGCAAAAGATAAACGGTGTCATAACTTAATGCTGGTTTATTCAGCCTTACAGTCCTCCTCTCAACTAGGAGGTACTATCAAGTACTGCAGCTAATTGTCTATCAAATGAGCAAGGCAGCCTAATAAATCCCCTTAACAATTAGCGGCCTGAATACAAGCCAAGAGGGGGGGTTGTCAAGTTATTTGGGATGGCATCTAGTTAAATCCTCACTCAAACTTGACAAACATTGTTTCAAAGCACAAAGCCTCATAATCCTATCAGTATAAACCATTTAAAGATCCCCAGTATGTGTCAGTTGCTTAGTTGCTAACAGGCATGTATACAAAACAAATATATATATATATTATATTATATATAATATAGTAAATAATAAAAAAAATAATTAAAAAAAATTGTGGTAAAAAAATCAAAATAAGTACATTTTTTACCACCTTTGTACCTCTGCAAATTGGGTTATCATGTAGAATAATTCTGACTCTTTACTAATGAACTCCAGTTACCCTTCATGTGCAATCAAGTTCATCTATAATCAGAGGGGATCAAGAGAGGGGGGTATGCTGTCAGACAGTGAATGGTTACCACTGCACTGCCGCTGAGAGGACAGTGGTGTTTTGTATTCTCACTGGGTAACAGCAGGGTGAAACTCAGCCATAGGCACAGGATACCTTTGATAACAACCTGTACCAACCTATAGGCTCTTGTTATCCATCGACCCTAATTCCATCATCAGCTGGCTTGATTGAATGGGTTCTAGCTAAAAGCAGAGGAAATGACAACACAATAAATGTATTGTATAATACTAACTCAGATACCAGGTAATTTAGTTCCTGCATCATTTTTCCTCAAAGTGGTTTTCTGTGGTTGCCATGGTCACACAGCAGGCCACAGCGAGCAAGCTGTGATGCACCTATCCAACTTTTCTCTACCCATATCGATTCTGACACCTCAACTTGAGAGCATTTGCTGATTCCCAGCACCAACCCCACACAGGCGCTCTCTTGTTTCTGCATTCAAATCGGTACCTCACTGTGTGGAACTCACTGGAATCATTTTTATGTGAGGCAACGTGAGGCCAGGGATTACTATAGCACTAGAAACTGAGCTGACAGCCTGCTGTGACTGAATAAATGCAAGTGACAGCAGAAATGCTGAATTTCACATCGACACTGACAAAGAGAACAAAGAGAGTGTCTCTAATGTGGATGGGTCATGTCACGGCCAAAACCCGCTCTACTTAACTAAGGCTGGTACTGGCGCTGATACAGAAATGGCGGATTGGATCAATGCATCCCTAGTGTCAAGCTGAAAAATAAAGTTATACCTTCTCCAACTCAGGACCTGTTGATGTCATATTGACATCATACCAGCAATATTACATAAAACTAACACCTTCCACTATAGTTGTCTCAGTCTAGGCTGACTCTGAATATGATACAGACATGAAAAAATATAAATATATTTTTTTAACCATTTCAGCAGCTACATGTGGACACAGTGGCACTTTAGTGACGTTTTCTGTCCAAAATAAATCAGAAATGAATTTATAATGAAGAGAAATCTAAGTCCTCAGCAGTTCAGTGACGTCAGCCGCCACGGTCACACAACGCAGGCAGTGTGTTCCCGCCGTAATTCACCCAACATCACTGAAGACCTCTTATCCATTCCCGCTCATCTACAGCAGATCAAGAGTAGTTGGTAGTTTAATACTTTGTGACTGCTTTGTTGCAGCCATTAAAGGTCACTGTCAGAAAACTCATAGCTGGGTGAAGAGAGATTAAAAATAGACATTTTGCCTTTTATAACCGGCATTCTCTGTTGCAGTGGAATTCAACACTAAAACTGTCACTTTTACAATGGCTCACTCTGAAAATGAAAGTGATATCCATTTCCCTTAACTGTCTATTATCCCCATTTAAATGTACTAACAGGCATGTGCAGTATGTTCTCTCAGTAACAGAGGGAAAAGGCTTTGATCGACAGCCTAAAAAAAGAAGGAGCCCAGACCAGACAGATGAAGCTCATACATATTCCCCGTCACTCGCAGACATGAGCTTCTTATTTTGTGCTAACGCAGCATTTCAGTCCTTTCCATTATTAATTCCAGTGTGCTCACAAGACCGTGGCTTTAGTAGCCTAAAGACTGAGCCAGTCCTGGCATGAACTCCAATGAACAGTATTTCTTTTCTGCTTCAGCTCCTTTGATAATTCAGATCTATACCCTGATCGGGAACAGAGGTCCTGACAGAAAAACAGTCGACAAAGAACAAAATATGTGAGATTAATGCTGCACACATGACATCTGCCACCAGTGACTTATCACATGTTGCACACAAAGACTAAATATAAAAAACACTCACTGAGCATCAAACAAAGAAAAGCATCCAGTCAGTATAAGTTAATGCAGGTCAAACAGCACAGAAAAGCAGAGGCCCATCAAGTCATTTAGTCAGGTCCATCATGGCTCAGTGGTATTGACATCCAATCACACTGACATATTTTGACAGAGCCTCTCTATCTGGCTGTTGGTCAGATACATCTGACATGAAATTGTATCCATTAAATAAAAACACGGGGGAAAAAAAAGAATAATTTCTGAAACATCATTTGGAATTGAGCAAAAACCTAAGCAGCTTTCAATAGCTGTCACAGTATCAGCACACATTTCAGATACAACAGCTGATTTACACAACACTTAATGTGCAAATGCCAAAATACAAGTACAGAACCTAGATTTACTTTTATCATTGCGAAGCCTTACATTTTGGGCAAATCTAATAAACTATGCTAAGCTTCTAGCGTCTGTGATAAATATGTTTCTCCTGGTGTATTGCACATGCAAATCTTTTCACGTGCAGTAACATATCTAATATTTTCATGGCACGAACAGAGGATATTTAGGAATATAAAAGTGTCAATAGAATGAAAAATGTGGACTGTCTGTGTTAAAAACAAATAAACAGCAGCTAACATGAACAACAGTAGACATCCTTCTGACACACGTGAAAGACAGCTGACATGATTAAAAGAAACAGGCACGAGCCGGTCCGTATTTGTTTTGGTTCACCTCAGTGCCAGTTTCTGGAATAACAAAGGCGATGCCTTGGCAGTGCTGTGCAAGAAATACAGTATAAAACAACAATGAGGCTGGGCAAGTGGGCATTTCTGCTTTGATTAATTATTCATTTTCCTCCCGATGAAAACTTGATCCAAAATTTAAGAGACAGAAACACATTGACCCACTTCTGCCACTCAAACTTGGAAGAATCCACCGCCAACACATGCTAACCCCGCCCCCCCTCAACAGGAATTCACCGTCATGTATTTTACACCACGTCAATCACACTAAACGCTTTTTTCAAATAGAAACCAACGTATTGGCAACAAATTAGGCTGCAATATGAGCCAGTGTTTAGTTTCGTACAACAGTGTTCGACTGTGTGTGTATAACTGCTCAAAAAAAAAAAAAAAAAAACTCCTCATGGAAATGTTAACAGTTGCTGTTTTGTACTCTGTGTTTCTGCTGCTGGCGATGCACCACTGCTGCCTTTTGTGTTGTGTGACTGCGTTGCTTAGCTTAGCTCTAAAAGGGGGGAAATCATTGGACATATTATTTGACTTCACCCGATGATCCCAATTGTACAAAGAACTACTGATAAAAAATATCAATTTGCAATAAATATGGTTCAAATTATTGTAGATTCTGTGAATCTGGCAGCTCAGTTTTTTCGATGGTACCTTTTTGTGTGATTACTATGTTAATGAGTTTATGTTCAGCCAATCATAAGCCCAGGTTAACACCTATATTTTATGTGTTTCTTTAGAAATTATGAAAACATGAAGCTATTACAGCTAATGCTTGTCAAACTGTGATTTACAGGCCGAGGATGAACCAAACTCCAGTACAATACTAATTGTATTTTCTATCGCTGACGGTTCCCCGTGGAGTTTTTTGATCTCTAATAGCGTCTCTGTTTTGTTTATCTCATGCACAAGCATGGGGACGCACATGCACATATGTGCTTATGCAGATTGTGTGGTACACACTCCAGTCAGTGTTTTTACATTATTCCACTAATCTACAGGTGGCGAGAACATGCTAAGATATACTGCAATGTTCAAGCAAAGAATGAGAAAGAGACTGCAAGCTAGTAACCAAGGATGCAAACAATGCTGGATTTTTAAATCAGCTTTGCCAATGTTTTAAGAGGAAGGAAATGCATTCAACAAGTTTGATAGACCTCGAGGATACACACAATGCATCCACAGGGCACATTTTAGCAAACAGGGAAGCTGGAAGTATTGTTTTCCTTTAAATAACAGGGCAAAGCTGAAAGATGTGTCCTGTTACCTCTTTCCCGCACATCAGCCACTATGTCTGCAGCATCTATCTATGGTTAATTATATAAATACAATGTCTAGCAATCCAGCTGGTTAACTTAAATTCAACTAGTGAAATGCACTGGTTATGATGTGATTTACCATCTTGATTTCGCTTAAAATCATTTTCCTCCAAAACAAATGTGCAGCATACTGTAGTTTATGAAAATATGAAAATATCTTATTGCTACCAACGATTCAGTGTTTCACATTCTGTCTGTGTGTGAAGGAGGATGACCAACAAGCAGTATAAAAGACTCTATACATCCATACACCAACATTTCTACCAACATACTGCATATATTCAGTATATGTTCATTGTGAATAAACAACCAGTGAAAATGTGAAAAATAATTTGGAGATATGAAATATCTTACCTCCATGTTTCTGTCCATGCATTTGGGGGGCGATGACTCATCTGACCCGGAGGACTCAGTGCAGCAGGGGGGCTGGTCGTCCCAGCCTGCATGGGGAGCGTTGTGTGGGTGACAAATTTTCAGAGAGCTTCTCCGACAGGTGTCCACGTCTGCAGCAGTGGTGCAGGGGTCAGCTGTGCACAAGTCCCTGCCTGAAGGCTTCTTTTGCTGATCTTGTTTGGTGTTTTTCTTAGATGAGTGGGAGGCACTCTGGGATCTCTGAAGTGTCACAGAGGAGTTATCACCATCTTTCTGAGTTGGTTTTCTTGAGAGACGTTTAAAAATGTAGCTGTGGTGTCCTGCTCTCTGCCTCCCCTGCAACAGTCTTCCGTGGGCCTCTAGCAGGTGGCAGAGGAAGATGGCCTTTTCTAGCTCAAATTCCTGTCTGTGATGCAATTTATAGACTGCCTGCTCACCATTTATCTCCTCATACAGTGTCAGCAGCAACTCCTCCAGCTTTGTGTAGGTTTCTCTGCTGCACAAAAAAAAAGGCTCTTTCCCTGTGGAATCGACCTTACTGTATCGTCCAGCGTCTTTAATGTCCACCTCCTTAGCCAGCAAACGCCAGCGTCTGTTAGACTGCCTGTCCTTTTGGGACCCACGCCTAGACGTCAGCTCCTTCACGGCCCTCTGCTGTTCCCTCTCTGCTTCTTCTCGCAGGCGCCTTAGCTCCACACAGAGGTGTCCGCAGGCCTGCTGTGTTCGATTCTTCTCCGCTTCCAAGTCAGCACGCAGCCTCTCGAGCTCTCGTCCATAGTCCGTCTGGCTCTGGCACGGTTTCTTGGATGACAGTGCCAGAGGGTTATCCCTGTCTTTCCTCATGATGGCTCATTCACAGCACAACATGCGATGAAAGGCAAGAAACATTCATTTCTAAAGAAGGGCCATGCATCAGAACTGAGAGGAAGTGCAGGTGGGTGGGTGATGGGTTGGTTATCAGACATGCAGCATGCAATTATCACACCAGGTCACTGGCCACTGGAGGGATGAGACAGTGGAGGATGTGAGAGAAATGGAAAAATGATCAGGTATTATTGTTTTACGTGAATGCACTGACAAGAAATGCAGTGTTTTCAGCATGGTGAAAGCACAAGTGACGATCCCTCTGTCTGTTAGAAGCAGAGGTGGACAAAGTACACAACTTCATTACTTGAGTCACAGTATAGATCCTCCTGGTCAAATATTACTCCAATACAAGTGAAACACATGTTTACTTGAGTACTGGAGTACTTGATTTTAAAGATACTTAAGTATTCCAAAGTACATTTTTTATGTCAACACATTGTTGTATTGCTCCACAGCACAGACTTTCTTGTAGAACCTGTAGAATAAAAAGCTTGAATGTGCTACAAAGCTGATAGAAATGGTCATAAAAACACAAATGAATCACAGAAGGAGCCATTGTTGTTTACATATTTCTTTCTTTAGGCAGTGATGAAGTTTGGTCATGGTAAACACAGCGAACGTTTAAAATGAAAGGAATCTTTCTTTGTCCACCCCTGGTTAGGATTCAGAAAAAAACATGGTAGCACTCAGAATAGCTTTAGGAAAGCAAGCACATTAAAAACACAGAAAATAAATGTGTGACATTTTGTTATAAATAGAGAAAGAAACCATCTCTGTGCAATGAGTCCTACCAAGATACAAACTGGTTATTATATATTTATATGGATACATGCAATGGTATCTTACAAATACCTTATCATGACTGTATTATCCCTGATTTATATTTGTTTTATCTAAACTGACTTAATGAAGAACAACCGACATCATGAGAACATATAAATAAACTGTCCCCTCCCAGTTTACCCAGTCAGAGATAGGATTCATGTCGCTTATGCTTGGGAGCAGGAGCCTGCCTTCAACTGAGGATGCAACAGGTGAAGTGTTGAACTCCCAGTGAAACAACACTGCAACGTCAGCTTTCATTACTGTAGCCGGTTTTACCATCACTAGCTCAACTTAGCGGTGTCCATATGGGCGGGCGCTGGGTTCATATTACAGAGAGGATGGGGACTTCTTCGGCTAATGGCTAATTAACTATTTTACTGTAGCAAACTATTATGAGGTCAAGTAGGTGATGCTAAATTAGACGGCGCTATCTGATAACACGACTAACAGTCAGTATGATAATGGAGCTTTAACAAGTCCTGACTAGCTAACTACGTCTTGTTAGCAAGTGTTAGCTAACCGTTAAGTTTTCTAGCTACAACTTGTATCAAACTCACCTCCCAGCGGACTCAGCCGTTAAATTTAACTTTTCATCAATGGCGTCATCCTCTTTCAACCCAGGTACTTTTGTTAAAATGGGCTATCCAGCAACAGTGAGGCAGCTAACGTTGATGGTTACAGGTCCATGAAGCCATGCAAGAAGAGTTTGTTTATCTGTCAGGCAGCAGTCTCTCACACACACACAGCCTGTGTCCGGCGTCACTCTGATGGCCAGTCCAGGCGCAGTGCTGCCTTCACGTGCACTCCGCCATTAACATATCAATTAAAGTCTTACCGTGATACTGAATCTCTTTCTATTAAGAATACCAACGTTTCCTGTTGATCTTCATCGTTCAGCAAACAAACAGAAAGAGGAGAGTAATGAATATTGGCTCTCGTCTCAATCAAAGTTTTCAGTCATGTAGGGTCATATCTGTCAGTTGTTATAGCCATTCCCAACATTACTTCTAATTGCATTTTTCTACCACCCTAAATTCTAAAGGTCCGTCCTTCGTTGTTGCATTAAGGCCCACAGATTTATTTGAGTTGTTTGGGAGCGTTTCGACAATGATTTCGATATTACCGACAGTTCCTGAAGGCAACATAATCAGTAAATCCAACCGTCTTGTATGAGGTGGATGACCACTAGTGGCTGCAGGCTGCCAGTGCTGGATTTGTCTGCTGTATGTAGGGTTTATAAATAGATTTTAATCCCCTGAATCTTTTTATTTATCATTTTTAATTAATGATTTAAAAAAAATTGTATTGATTATTCTTAAATGTGACATATTCTCTTAAACCACTAACTGATATTCATCTCAGTGGACAGAGGGTCATACACAACCTGTATTCCTATATACAAGTGTTTTGAGTGTCGACAGACCAGAATATTTATATGTCCTCAGGAGAAGAACTACATCTTATGAAACCAGTATAATTATATAGTCTGATGGGAAGTATTTAATTTGATCAAACTGCTAAATAATGTATGCTTGAAAAAGTATCTAATGTTATGAGCACTCTCAGGAGGAATTATCTGATTTGATCAAATGTTATGTCCAAGTGTATATCAAGTAGACAATAGAACTATCTGTGAACAGTTTTCACAGAGACTGTTTTTCATGTGAGGATAAGAAAAGCACTGGTGTAAGGACCTTTGCAGTCCACTTTGTTGTTCTCCATACCTGAATTCCAGGTGCTGCTTTGTTTCTAGGTTCCTGTTCATATTCATGCTGGCTCTCTGTCATATCCACCATTAATGATATAAGTAAAACGTGTAATTTTCCAGTTATAACAAATACTTTTTTGTTGTTGTTGTTGCTGTGACCTATTCTGTGGATTCAATCTTCCCATAAATCACAATATTAACACAGAACTTTGTCTTAGAAATACCTATTATATCTATACATTCTTTTTTGTTTCCGTGCAATGTCAAATGTCTGCACAGTGTTTAATAAGAGAGGATTACCTGTGGTGTGTGCATGACATTGACGAAAAATCCGTTGCATGACAGTTTTGGATAACTGGGGAGGAGAAGAGAGGATACAGCAGACATGGCTGAAAATGAGTTTACTGAATTAAAGTTCAAAGTCAAGCTCACTGAGAAAAATTGGCAGGAACGCCTGATGTAAAAATCATAGTATTAAGAGGAAGGAAAAGTTAAAGATTATGACAGGAAATCTGTCTATGGAAATGTATGTATGTATGTAAATGTGGTTTTTAAGTGTCTGTCACACAACAAGAACAGTTTGCATGAAGAAAACAAACAAATGATTATTTCCTGTATTACTATCATCAGAATGTTGCAACCAACCCGTTCTTATGACTAACTTTTTTGTGCATCAACAGGAATGCAGTGTTGAATATGATTTGTGAGACCTTGATAAAATTCTTCCTGAGATTTCATTGGCAAAGGCAATGATATTGAAATGTATAAATCCTCAGAGGTATGTACATACCTTTTCAATATCAAGTTGCTGAAATCCATCAGAGGCAAAGGATACCATGTCCGACCACTGGGTGGCATTTGTATGAACAGAGAATTAAACATTTACTCAATATTTTTGTATCAGGCCATGATGAGCATTTTGTCAAAGCCGACTTTTTCCTTTGGTATAAATTAAGCATGTAACTTTCTCTTTAAATTTTAAATTTTCTTTATTTTTACAATCATCAGCAATCCAAGTGCATCAGTTGAGAGCATCTCTAATGGTTTGTGTTCACTGTGAGGGTGAAAGAGGCAGAGATAGAGAGAAAGAGAGAGAGATTCAGCATACCTCTCTCTGTTATCAGGGTGTCCTTGGGCCGCTCCCTCTCTCATTCCCATCTCTATCTGCTCACGTGTGGCAGACTGTTGGAAAGAGGCAGAAACAGACAGAGAGGGAGAGCTAATGCACTGCACTGCAAAACCCCAATTCTTACAGCTGCATCTGCTTAATCATTGAACACATTTTCCTTCTAACAGGGTATTTTTTACCTCTGCAGTGAGGATACTCTGAAAGACATCCCTGCAAACAGATAACAGTCTTGTTGCTTCATTGTTCATCTGCCTTGATTGTGATCTGTACATCCAGTATTTACCTATTCAGTGTTTATCTTTGTTGAGCTCAGACAGACTTCTGGGAACATTTCTGTCTGCACGCTTCATATCATCTGCCCTGTTTCTGTTGCATCCTACTGGTTTGAAGCCATGCTCACAACATGGCTATATTTCTGTACCTATATTTTCATATACAATATGTTCTGGCACATATAGCTTCTGTATTTTCGGACACATCTCTGCACCATCTGTGAATACTAACAACTCCCACTTGTGTGTCCTGACACATTTCTCTATATGATATCATTCTGTAAATTAAAAAATAAACAGCCCCCAGTGCTCTGTCTGACACTCATGATATGTGAAGTGTAGAATATATATTTGTGTATTCTTTTCCTTTTCTCTGTAGTTTCAGCCGATCACTTCTGGTCTGTAAAGTGTCATTTGTGGCCATTTTTTTGACACCAGCTTTGAGTCTATGTGATATATTCAGTCTGCAGGTATGGTGCTTTCTTACAGTCTTTTATTTCAAAGACATTTGAGTTTTTTACCATAACTTAATGTGCTTTCTGTTGTACAATGGCACAGATGGGACAAAAACGTTTAAACGATAATACACTGGTGTTTCCTTACCATTTTTTATAAACACGATACTTTCAAGGTTATGTAATATGGCAGCAATATTTTGTTACCAAAATCTTTAAAACAAATGTGTCAGATCAAATTTATTTATAGAGCACATATTTCATACATAAAGCATTTATTTAATTTATTTCTAATCACAGAATTTCAGCAGTTTATTTTAGTAGAAGAATTCATTTAAAGTCTTAACATGTGAATGAGAGAGGTGAACTGTGTCACAGTTTCAACACCTGGGATAAAGAATACATCCTGTCCTCATGACCCACTTGAAATCATTGTCCGGGACAAAGGTGTCAGGATGTCATGTTGCACTATCTGTGTCAAGTACAAATTCAAGACCCTCGTATGTAGGGAACAAAAGCATTTAGATGACTCATGTCTTTGTGAGACCTGGGCACCACGACACCTCAGATCAGGTGATCTATGAGCG